TCCTGGCTGGTCGGTAGGAAGCGGAGGAAACCGGAAAATACGCGATATTCTGCCTCCTGCCCCCACAGCTAACGAGCACTGGGGGGAAAAAAGGCTCTCAATGCACGGCAAAAAAATAAAGAGGACCCGCCTATAAAAGCAAACACCTTCACCCCCGCGAATCCTTCTGTTCTCGTTAGGGCTCACCTTTCCGTATGTGGGGGGGAGTGGGGGGAATAAATGTGGATTTTGCATCTACCGCGCCACGTTGTGCAGAAATAATAAAAGGAGGTGTTCGGATTTCGACAGCAGCTTTCGAGCCGAGGCTAGGAAAGTCCGTTTCAGACTCCTAGCTTCGTCACTGATTTTTTTGCGCTCGCTCCATCCCCTCCGCTACCTGCCTTAATTCATCGTTTGGGTTATTCTTTTACGTTTCACGCAGCAGCTTCGCGCTGTAAAGCGAAAGGGAGCTGGTAAGCGTCAGGCAGCTGTGGGGGGGGGCGGCCGCGGCACGGCGGGCACCCAGCTGAGACACAAACGGCCTCCCGGCCCGCACCCACCCACCCACCCACCCAAAGGCACTGCTCTCCTCCCTTCCCCTGCAAATCATCAGGCGCGGAACAGGAACGGGCACACGGCAGAGCCCGGAGAGCAGGGCTCGGCTCACGCCGTCAGGCTGTGGCGTTTAGCACATCTCTGAGATTTATTAATCTTTGCGCTTAAAGCGCCACTGAAGACTGTAGTCGGGAAAACGCTTCAGGCTTCAAGGGCGCTGGAAGTTAAACGGTTATATGCCTCAGCTATTCACTTTATAACATTACGGTTGCGCCTGCAGAAAGAAATTCTGCCGCGATAATTTTTCTCCAGCACTTTAAAATATTTTTTCCGCTTAGTGCACGAGAAATATGTTTATCTCCAAGGAAAGCAAAATAAAGTTTTAATTTTAGATATTGTTTTGGTAACTCTGCAAGTAACGTTTTCAAAAGCTGTATCAAACTGTCTGACGTTCAGCTGCAAGAGCGTATTGTGGCTACGATTTTCCTGACCGCTGTCGCGATTATCTGAGACGGAAGCACGCGTGGCTTCGCCTTCGCTGCCGCGTTTTGTCCTGCGGGAGCACAAAACTCGCGTGGCCAGGGATCCCCGGGCCGCTT